GGACTAAAATTGTCTACTTCAGCAGATCATGAACCCCCACGTTTTAAATTTTGGGAATCATCATAAGTAAATATAAATTTTTATACAAGTTCTGGTGTCTTACACTATTTTAAGTATTGTTGCGTTTTTTTTATTCTTCTGACACCAGTTGTTACGATATTTTCTTCCTTCACGTTCGTACGGGGTTCGTCTGGATTTGGAGTGAATAACGACGACACTTGATGAAGTATCGAAACACACTTTATTTGCCGGTATTAATCAGGACAGCTCCAAAATCTCGTTTACAGTCGTCGAACTGTTATAAACACACTGACACACACAGATTGTATTTTATTCTCGAGTGTCAAGATGTAGAAACATCTTTTTACTCGACTTCTGATAAGGATCGGGTGGGGGGAGAAAGAGTAGGGTGAAAGGAGTGTGGGAGGCAGAAAAAAGAGAGTGAGGTCCGCACTAGCGGCGGCAAAAAAAGGGGTGTGGCAAGTTCAGTGTCGTTATAAGATGTAGCCGCACGATCAGCGACACAGCTTTAAGGTTATCAAGCTATCACGGTGGAGACAGCTTCACTGCAAAGCACCAGAATACAGCTCCCGACTCATTCTCGGAACTCCACGTACTCTCGAGACTCTCCACAATACAACTCGCGATGCACTCGACGACACACGAGCAAAGCTCCCGACTCTTCGGTTCAGTCATTCCCGGAGCTCAACACGCTCTCTGGACGATGCATTAACAGACTCCTTCGGTGCACTCGACGACCCACTCGGCACTCGCTGCCCGGCTGTCAACTCGATCGACTCTGCAGGGATTGATTTGCTAGACGAGACACCAACTGGATACTAACTAGCACTCTAGACGAGGCACACACACATGCCCTCTCGATGAAGCACAATCACTGACTGCGGACCAGCAGGGTTTATATAGCTTTCGGCTTGTGTTCGAGAACATTCTGGGCTAAACCGGTAAGAATTCGTTCCAGAAGGTTCTCCATCCGTCCATGGAATATCGCAAATTTAGTCGCCAAATAGGCAATTTCTTGCCAAATATGGCAACCCTGCCATTTTATGGCAAACCTAAAACTGCTTTGCCATCTTACTGTGCCTGGACATTTCGTAACAGTATTTTGTGAGTGACAATTTAGTGGATCTTATCTTTTCGGAAACAAATAGATATGCCAAACAATGCCCAAATTCTCCAGGATTCCGCCTATCCAAAAATAGAAAACCTTGGATACCTGTCACAAAGGAAGAAATTCTTAAATTTCTCAGTATTGTTATTTTGCAAGGTATTGTAAAAAAAAACAGATACGAAAATGTATTGGAGCAAAAAACATTCAATTTCAACACCTTTTTTCAGAAGCATAATGCCTCGTTTCAATCGTTTCAAAGGTCATTTAGGATGGCGATAACATATGCTGAAACAGATATCCCGTTTTGGAGTAAAATCGTATTTGTTATGTGAATCAAGTTCAAGTATACACAAATTATATATACTGGAAAAGGTACAGTTTTTGATACAAAATGTAAAGATCTGCCCCAATCAATTCAAGTTGTGATGTCATTTATCAAGCCTTTGCTAAAACAAGGATATTTTCTGATAACAGACAATTTTTATACCTCACCAGAATTGGCAGACATGCTTTTAAAATTTCAAACAGACACTTATGGAACTGTAAAACTAAACCGAAAAGAAATACCTCAAGAATTAGTAAAAAAGAGAATTGCAACAGGTGAAAATGTTGCTTTTTGTCGAAGTAAAGTTCTTGCCATGAAGTGGAAAGATAAGAAAGATGTTACCATGCTATCTACAGTTCACACAAATGACATGGTAGATGTGCAGTGTCATAACAAAGTTGTCAAAAAACCTACAATTGTCACAGATTACAATAAAAATATGGAAGCGGTAGATATTGTAGACCAGTATCTTGGAGATTACTCTATTGCTCGAAAAAGAGGAAAGAAATATTATAAGAAAATATTTTTTCATTTGTTAGACCAAACTATTTTGAACTCGTATTTTATTTAAAAAAAAGAGTGCAGGGAAAAAATCCCATTTGATGTTTCGTTTATCTTTAGTAGATGAATTTATTGAAATGTATCAATCACCAGGCACCATTTCAAAAAGAGGCCGGGCAAGCTTGGAGGATAATGCAAACTGTTTGATTGAAAGACATTTTATTAGACAGATACCCCCAACTGATAAAAAGCAGCAACCATCAAGAGAATGCAAAGTTTGTTGTTCCAGAAGAAATGGAAACAATAAGAGATGTAGGAAGGAAACTCGGTACTACTGTCCAGATTGTGACATCCTTTGCATCTCATGCTTTGAAATTTATCACACAAGAAAAAATTGCTAAGCTTTGTTTATATTCTGTGTAAGTTTAATAAAATTCTCTTTTAATGTTTAAAACACATATTTCTGAAATTTTCCTAGCTTACTGGAAAATCAACATTCAGTCAAAGTAAACCTGGATGTTGGCTTTCCCTAAAAAATTATATTTTAAAATTTCGAGCTAAAAAAAATCCAGAAATTGAAAATGAATGCATATATTGTGCGTACATTTATTTCTATACAATTTTCTTCAATAAAAAAAAAAAGCACTTTTATGACCGTTTTCTGGGAAATTATCCGATCGTTAAGGGGTTAAACATATGCTTACACAAGGATAACGTGAGCTGTACTGGGAAAAACTTTTTTGGTGGAAACAAAGGGCCAACAAATTCTTAATGTAGAATGACCATTTTCTGCCTTTTTATTGGAGTATAGCCTGCCACTGAATGCATCAGATCATGCTGCAGCTTTTATTTAGCAAAATGTTTCCTCGTCAGTGAAATTGCTAAGAATTATTCAAGGTGCAAGGACAAAAAGAGCTGCAACTGTAGAAGAAATGGGTTCAAGAAATTGATGTGAAAAATAAATTTTGCAGGCATGTTAAAAAAAGAAAATTCAGGTTTGCAAATTATGAGGTGCACCTGTCTTAAATTTAATAGTTGAAAAATGGTCAGCTTCTCTGCCAATAAGTGCGGATGAACATGTTGATATTTATTATTATCTTGAAAGTTTTCTATAAAGAAGGAAAAATTGAAGCAATTCCAATAGCTGTATAATACTACAATAAGAAAAAATCTGAAATATGTATTTTATATGTTGGTTATATTTAGAGAAATGGTAATCTAGAAACCTCGACCAATGGAACTTACATTTTTTAAGGAAGAAGTAAATGCTTCTAGAGTTAAAATAAAAGGCTCTATTGAAAGTTATGAAATACCTCAACCCTAGAATGCTAACATGTGTAAATTTTACTCACACAATAATGAAATGCACACGTGACTTCTAAACTTTGCACACTAGCTCCAATATCACTCAGATATAATACCTACGTTCTTTTGTATTTAAGATGCAGTTGTAATTGAATGTGGGATATTTTCTTTCAGGAAATACCTTTTACTAAATTTAAAGGTTTAGTATTCTAGGGTTAAGTAAATGGAGATATAGTTATTACTTCCGCTGTTAAAAATAGGTGTGAGGAAAGTTAATTTTTGCACCTGCAAGCAATTTAATTGGCACCTGTCTAAATAATACTATGATATATAAGCATAAAGCTCTCCCAAAATAAAAATATATACATGCATGACCAGGGATGCATTTTCCAATTATCGTAAGTTTATCTTGTGAAGAAAAAAAAAAAATTTTTTTTTTTTTTGACATAACAAAGCATTTTTGTAAGTTTCATTTTGCCATCATTCGATGTTTTTAAATTAATTCTGCAGTGCAGAATTCCATTAATTCATGTTTTGTAATCAATGATTAGTGATCTGGCTATTATTTAATGATTAGAGAAACTGATCAGAGTAATTTTCTGTTATTACAAGGTACAAGTAATAACACTTTTTTTTTACATATAATTATTTGTGCATTAAAGAAATAGTACCTGAACTTTCAGATATTAATTAGTTAAAGTGAATTCATTATTAAAAGATTTTTCTTTATCTTTTTGTCGCTGAGAAAATTCTTCTGATTTCTGAGTGTCGTACGCTGGCAAGTATGCTTATGAATATCATTTAGAAAATCTATTTTTTGCATATGGAAAGAAATTTAAATTTCTCCACCTGAACACACTCAAGAGTTCACAGTGCATTTGTCTATAATCATCGGCAAGTGTAATATGAACATAAAAGGCTTGATATTCAGTTACTAATATTTAAAAAAAAAATGTTTTAAGCATTTCTGAATGCATTAATAATCATGTGGTAATGTAGTTTCTGCATGAGTTGATAAATGCAATGATTTGCCAGTTTGGTGCCAGATATGTGTAGTTGTAAAATAAAGAATGAACTTTGGTACAGTAATTCTGTTTGAGATGTATTCCAAGCAAAAAGCTAGCTACAGAGCCAGCAAATAATTTATCATGCGTTAATATATGATTGTATTTCTTAAACATACAAGTGTTTTATATAGTAGCAAAGTGAAATTAAGAATTCCTTCATGTGTTTTTATTATGAAAAAACGTCTATTGTGCATGCGTGCTTGAAGTAGCATATGCTAAAGTGAGATGGAGCACTCAATCTAATTCTTTTTCTTAAGAAATTCCTGGTGGTCTGGATATTCACCTTTGTACTATATAATAAATATTTCAGTAATAATTTTCTTGGTCAATGTAATAATAAACATTATATGGAAAAACGAAGAAAGGTTGTGTTAATTTATTTTAAAATTAGAATTGTTTTACTAATTTTTCATTTAATTTTAATTTAATAAAAATATAAAGCTCTGCAATTATATTTTGAACAAGTAATCTTTTGGAATCTTGCTAAAAATTTTTTTATTGTAGTCCATGTAGAAACCATAAAATTAAATATAAAAAAGTATGATCGATTCAGAAGGTTTGTATTAAATAAAGTAAATCACTTTCTTGGCTTTAATGTTGCTTGATATCCATATGATAGCCACTTACTTTAACTACTAAAACTTTCATTCAAAGTCAGACAAATCAATTATACTTTTCAGATTTTCAACTTCAAAATAATGTATTTATTAAAATCCAAATATTATATACAGATGTAATTTCTATTTGAGATTATTACAACAACTTAACTACTTTTTCTTGATTTTTTGCCTGTTGAGATTTTTCCATTCTCATAGCATATTGGTGAGCAAGCTTGCACTCTTTCTTCAAAATTCTGTTTTGCTACATATGAAAAGTAAATTAATTTTAAAAAAATGTACAATAAAATCTAAAAATTGCACAAAAATTACTCTAAAAATTTAAGATAGGATATAAAAATGCTAATTAATTTCTAATTAAGGAAAAAGGCCTTCCTCAGATAATCCCACATGTTTACTTTAGTCACACACTCTTGAATAAAAACCACTTCAAATAAGGATCTTGCCTCTTTTATTAAATAGCATTTGTTTAGGTCACAATTTGTAAAACAATTTTTTTTTTAACATTCAATTTGGCATTATTTTACAGTCTTACAGATATTATCAAAAGATAAGACTGTATATATGTAATAAAAACAAAATTTTCATGGTGTAGAAGTGTGATCCATAATGAATAAGAAATTGGAGGTGAAGGCCGATTAAATCTTCATTTTTTATTTCAGCAAACATGTTGAGGCCACAATCAAGTTGGCACATTAATTGTGCCTATTCCAAAAAATTTACATTTTATATAAATTTGCGGTAAGAAAGAAGGAGCGGAATAGCTTGCATTCTAGCTAGGCCAAAGCGTAGAAGGCAAGTGCGTTATGTTCAGGGTGAAATCTTAATTCAGACAGACTTAGTTTTGGTTCCCAATGCATCTTGATTGGATAGTTAATATTGGTGTAAAATTATTATTGTCTGTTTGAGTTCCATTTACATCATCAAAATTACTTATGATACATCTTTTTCTCGAAAAGACACAGTGCAAATAGAGGTTACTATTTTTAGAATATAGAAGGGAAATTCACTTTAAGCTGCTAATTTAATCTTTTACGTAGTCTTTATTTTTCTTACATATTCCCCCTTTCAAGGAGAAAAAGGCGTAGCGACAGAGAAGCCTTTTTAAAGAAAAAGCATTAAAGCACTGGAAATGAAGAAAAGCATACATATTAGAATTTTGACCAGCAATAATTAAATAAATAACTGTAAAGTATAATTTATAAATATCAACTTTTAAAAATTTAATTTTTAAATTGACATAATAAAAGCACAAGGAAAAGACGGAGCACTGTTGATGTGTACTTGGATCCATATTGAAGAATTCTGATTGCATAGTATGCTAATATGTTGACTTGGTAATATCTAAAAAACTTTGCAGTTCTAATTTCATTTTTATTTGCAATTGATATTTGTGGCCACAGTTCACTTGGCACTCAAGTTGTACTTATGTCCAAGCAGAGGCAGAAGCTGAAGTGCATAGTTATGCAAGATGGAAGCACACAAAGAGAAATGTTTTGGTTTAACATTTCGGTTCCCAATTATTACACCATCAGCGCTGCACAGGCCATGCAAAATGAAAGATCTAGAAATGACACAATCCACAGAAGTTATTAGGATTTTTAGAACCAAGAGGGAGAATTAAAAAGTTTGCTGTTAGTTTAAATTATAATTTTGATTCACATATTTTTTATCTTACATATTTGAACTGAAATGTATCATGTACCAAAACATTTTCTTGCCGTTTATGTATTTATTTTTGGATTACCATAAATTCTGAAGCATTTTGTGTATGGCAATCTCTTAATCAATAATCATCATTCCATGCATTTTACATTTAATTTAATAATGTTAAATTTATGGAAACCCTTCTTCAATAACTAAATAACTTTGTTAGATATGTTATGTCTAAAGCAGATAATTTCATTAAAATATCATCTTACAGGTAAATGAATACCTGTAAGAATAAACACAGGTAAATGAATACCTGTTACTCTTGCAGGTAAATGAATACCTGTTAGATATGTCTAAAGCAAATAATTTCATTAAAATATCATCTTACAGGTAAATGAATACTTAACATCAGAATAAAAATATTTAAAAAAATACACACAATTCCTTAACCATTTATGGTAACTGAAAACATGCTATAATAAAGACACAAGCCTCTTGGGAATATTTTATGCAATTTTCTATACATGCATAGTTGTCTGCCTGAATGAGTAAGAACCTTGGTTCAACAAGATTGTGTCCATCAGCATTGATACACGCTTGACAGCGTTGGTTTAGCGACTGACGAACACTTTCAAAGATACCAGGAATTTCACGCACACGTGCAGCAGCTACAGATATTTGAGCAATGAGATCTTCATTGGAGTCTACTGGAGTTGCATAAATGTCATTCTTCAAATGTCCCCAGAAAAATAAAGGTGTAGATGATAATCGCTTAACACTCTCCAAACAGTGTATTGACTCACTCCTACAGTCTGTGCAACAGCTCTTGTACTTGGCTTGAATGTAGCAGCCACGATTTGCATTTCTTCAACTATTGCAGTGCGTACAGTTGTTCATAGATCAACATTGTGTCTGATAATATGGAATGAACCTGTTTCACAAAACTGACTATGTAATCTCTGAAACATTCTGTGATCCGGCATTCGTCTGTCAGGATACTACTCACGATACATTCGTAGTACAACTCTGCAGTTTTCATTTGCACGGCCGTACATGTAATGCATGTCTGCTTTTTCGGCAAACATAAAATCTCCCATCACAGATGAAAACTGAAAGAATGGCTTCTCTTCCCCAAATCAACAGACTGACCATCTACCGGCAACAGAAGCAACTACTAATTCATTCTCCTTCATCTTCTGCATTTGTTCTTTCCTGTGTTTCACTTTTGACCATACATTCCTACACAAAATGTGACTGTTAGTGTCCTGAACCAGCCCTCAAAGTTTGTACCATGAATTAGCAGTCACTCTGTATATACATACCAGAATTAATTTAACTGTATTAGTTTAAGACTACATTTTTGTCTCAAAATAAAATGCTTCATATTAAATATAATATTGCATGGCATTCCAACACATTTGGCAAGTAATAGAATTTTGACAATGTATTCTTATTTTTAATAAGATGGTAATTGGGATGCACCATTTCCATCACAATTAATACGAATCATGATACACTTTCACCTGTAGGGTATTAAGACAAATTTTTTATCATCATAGTTATTTAGCTAGCAAAGAACAGAAAAACAAATCAACATGGCCTGCCATTTCTTGCTTAACTGTAGCAAATTTTAAATTTCTATAGCAGACTAAATTTCTTTAAGCCTTATTTAATATCAAGAATGCATGAGACATTATGTCCCGGGCCTTAGGAAAAGATTAATCCTTTATATGAACTCAAAACTTGTTTATACTCATAGAATGTTGTTTAAAAATAATTCTGCAAGTTTGTTATTGACTCAAATATTGCTTCTATGAAATTTTTTATTCATGGAAGTAGAAAGTTGTTAGAGATAGAAATTTGCATTTCTCCCGTTCGCGATTGCGCTGAGCATAAAAGACGGAAGGTTCCTGCCGATGAGGAGAAATGAACATAGAAAGGGTAGTCTGTCTTCTTGATTCTGAGGGTCCTGATGTCTGACCTCCCTGCTACACCTATCTGACGATGTCTGCTGACGTGGCCAGCCACTGCGATTCTCTCAAGCGTGGTGCAGAAACGTGATGCAAGGAGCTCACAGTTCAGTGGAAACAAGAATCTACTCAAGCATTCAGGATTATCTATCTACATTGCCAAATACCCGCCTATATGAAAAGAACTGTTAAGCGGGATCAATACACATTGTACCAATCTAGTATATTTCGTACATTCATATAAGTTCATTAATGTGTCAAAGTCTGACACGTATGTTCAGCTATGTTGTTAAATCTTAAGGATAGAAGACACATTAAATTTTAGGCTTAATTTTTCAACTTGGTGCAGTTTATACTTCTGTAGCAGAGAACCTTGGTTTCACACCCACCACTATGCATAACTCTCAAGATTCTTCAAAGAACACCAAATCTTACAAAATAATACAACAAAAGTAAATAATCAAATAATACAACAAAAGTAAATGAAGCTGTATATTTAATATTTAAAGTACTATTCATTCCATTCATCATGACCAAATAAGAACAAAAATTTTATTAACTTTTTAGCCACAATAACTTTACATCATGTTTAAAAAAATTTGAATTAATTGCATATATTTATACTTTTATAAATTATACATATTATCTTACCCTTTTAAATTCTTTGAATAAACGTTTTCTTTCTCTTCTCTGTTCTGGCGTTTCACCCTGACACCTATTATTAAAGCTTGAGGCTACTGAAACTTTATCATCATCACTTGTGACTACTGAACTATCATTATGATCTTCACCATCAGTCTTCTCATCTTTATTTTTATTATTAAACTGCTTTAAGTTGTGCTTAGTCAGTACCTTTAAAGAGAGTTTAATACAAACATATGATTAACCCAAAACCCTTATATATATAAATTATCTGTATATCTGCAGTACATTTACATATAATTACATATTTAAAAAGCATACTTATAATCACCAGGTTAATACAATAAGGCATAGCTTCTATTTGACAATATATAGGTATGGATATGAAACATATCTAATGGCAGAAAAAGCTTATATGCTTTAAAAAATATATACACAATTAAAAAATTTCAAATATTTAAGATAAAAATTAAGATTATTACACTTATTAAAGGCTGCCTTTAATATGTTTCTTATTAGCTGCAGTCTTGAGTTATATATGAATATGTTAATAGACCCATTAAAAATACTCTGCATTTGTCAATATCAAATTTTAATCATAAATATAATTAGATTTTACCTTTTTAGGTTTTTCTCTTATCACAGTTGGATGATTATACTTGTTTGAATATGTACCTAAAAAAAAAAAAAAAAAAAAAAAAAAAAAAAAAAAAAAAAAAAATTCATTTTTAATATACCATATAATTAGAAAACCCATTCAAATTGTTCACTCCATCATGAGTGTCAGAGATCAAGATATAATATGATTAACATTTCTTTTTATATATGTATTATTCTATTTACAACTATGTATAAACTCTATTTACAGTTTTTTAAATAAAACACAATTTAAAATATATATGTATATAAATTTCATACTATACAACTTGGGCATTCTATCTAAACTAAGTTACCAAACTTCAAACCCACTCTTCACTTATTACACCTTAAGCTTCGCTTCAGTGAGAGAGGCACTGATTGACTTAGAGCACAAGACTTTACTCCTTCTTCATTTGCCCCCCCCCTTCTCCACTGTTAGTAAGATAGCTGTTTGATGTTACGCCAATTGTATTTCTGGTCACTGAGCGGAGGAGCAATGCAATTGCAAATTAGATTTTTAAGCATGCACTTAGAGCTTCAGTTGGTAATTACTGAAATTCCAAAGACGTAGATGTTCCTTTAAGGTATCCTCTGATGTAGCTGGGTGAATTTTTGAGTTTTGCTGTCTTTGACAAGTCGCCATTCTTCAGTCTACGTGACGTTTTAAGAAGAAAACAAACGGAATTTAGTCAAGATTATAGATAATGTGTGATTTTTTTTTTTTTTTTAAAGTTCTGCTGAAAGTGTACGAGAGCAATTCAACAGAATACAGTCCATTAAATATCAATTACAGAATACACAGTAGCAGATGGATACACGACACATTCAATAACAAAAAATTTTAACACAAGTTGAATGAATTTATATTTTAATCATTCTACTACTGCACCATTCAGAAGCTATATAGTTGTATACCAGTTGCCAACTTTTTCTAACCTGCAGCACACTATTTTATATTTCCTCTTATTTTTTCCATCACACTTTTGTTGTCTTATTAACACAGCTTCAAAATTTCATGTTATACTCATTCAGAACAAATGTCATATACAATCAAAGTAGGTTATCCTTAAGTATAATATAATCTTTTGGTTTCATGCTATCAATAATTTGCAGAAATACTAAGTTATTTTGTTACAAATTTGAATAGCAAGGAAATCACAGATATTCAAAATGAAAATCAATATAAAATGTTTATTTGTATCACGTATAAAATGTAATGTAATGAGATTTACAAGTTATGTTTGTTCCAGGGAATGAATTTGGTACTTTTTGATTATTTGCACCTCCATGAAAAATCAATCTCTTTAAGTTTCTAAGTTCAAACGAAGCCATGGGAAGAAAGTTTCTTTATTTTGTGAAATTTTGAAAAACAAGAAAAAGATATGGTGATGCAAATTATTCAATATTTTTTCAATGTTCTTCATCTTTTCGTTATTAAGTTAAAACATCAGAATAGTTCAATTACAGTACATTCTATTGTTATTTTATTTAATGTTACTAATATATTGTGCACAATTAACCAATTAAATGTTATTCTGTTTACGTACATATTATATAAATACATACAATATGTACACTTTATTTAAATTCAGAGTATCTTGTTCATGGATGCAAACAAAATGTCCACACTGAAATTTCTTTTATCCTGAAATCATACACTATTTCTCAGAATAACAGTTTTAAAAAGTAAAATACTGGTACATGGGCATTAAGAAAGCACCCCCTGACACACTGCCAAAAACAAAACCCATAACTTTTGCTTCCCTGCAAGCATTACGGCAACCCTAGAAGCTATATCAGATTTTTTCTGTTAATATTTTCTCTTTCTTTATTAAAAAAAAATCATCTCTCCAAAACAATTACAGCAAATGCATAATTGCATTGTAGTATTCTTTCTTGAAAACACTTCTCACATGGGAAGTTCTCAGCACAATGTTTGTTCATTTCATGTTTAATTTTTATTGCATTTTGTATCATGCATGTACTAGATCTGACAAGAAATAAAGGAGAATATATCACAATAATTTTCTCACATGTGGTATTTCACCCAAAAATCCTAAGTTACCCAATTCTTATATTAAAAACTACATGGTCAAAGATATATGACGGAAATGCAAACAAATGCTAACAAAGTGTCAGAATAAGATATGAAAATTAAATCATGAGAAGTCACTTTCATCCTTACTTAGCATGCACAAATATTTAATTTGCTATTATTTTGATCATAGAGAGGCAGAGGCAAGCTGTCGAGAATAATAATCTGAAGCAACTACCAAGCTATCGAACATTACAAAAAACCTGTTTACGTGATTTAGCCAACATTGAAAATATCGCCCAAAGAAGCATTCAGTGAATCAGCAGTTGCTGGCTGATACCCAAATATCAAAATGTTTAAAATTCTTACTTAATATTGATTCACAGTCAAACTCTAAAGGCTTTTCTAAGAAAACTTCAACAATCTTTTCTTCTTCTTTAGTTTCTGCATACTGTAATATTTTTTCTTTTAAGCTTTCATCACAGCTACCCAACTCGATTTTCTCCCTGCAATAAATAGTTTTTCAAATACTTATTTCTTGATTAGATAAAGCAGTGAAAATTATATTTTTTTATCATCCAGTGAAATTAAAATTAGTTATTTTTAAAAGAATCATTGTAATAACTTCTATTCCTTCAAATAAACAGTATTAATACCATATAATGCTAAGCTAACTGTTCAACTGCTCGAAATCTAAAACAAACCAAACTATCACTATCTGTAGCTTTAGACACTGAAGCAATAGTAGGCCACAGGGTTATATGATTGTGAACTGTTAGGAAGAAATGCAAACTTTAATGTTAATTATCTATGTTGAATCTCATTAAAATGGTAAGATTGGAATGAAGTTGAAAAAATTAACATTTCTAGGTGGCTAATAGTAAGTAATATTAATAACTTAACATTAATATGTGGTTAACATCAATATGAATTTGCTCATATTATAAATGTAGAAGGTTCCGAGTGTCCAAGATTTGAAAACAAGTATATAACTGAAAGACTTGAAGAAATATTTTAGGATTTATCAAACCAATACATTCTGGCTGCAGCGGTTCAAGATGAGTATATATAGAACGAAACAAACAGAAGGATGGAGATAAACAGAAAGAATGAGTCACAGTTAATAATTAAAACAGGTAGACATGCTGTTAAACTACTGCAAATCATCAGATTGAATTTAGTACGTCAAAACTTTGCACAACATTCACCACACTATCACCAACATGGTTCACATAGGTTATTTTAAATTATGGCAAATGAATTAAGATGAGATCTGTCTGCTTACGAGTAGGGATGCTTTTTAAATAAGAAAGAAAACTAGCTCACAGCCATGTTTATGCACTTCAGGAAAGTCACAAAAACACTCATGAAGCCTAGCATATTTGCCAAAATTTGAATACAGGTCATACTAGCAATATTCAGAAGTCTTATCCACTCAAGCACAGAAAAATATAGCTGACCTGTTTCAGAACTAAAATTAATCTATTTGCTTATCAAGATTATTTATATTTTACACTATTTTAATTAAACGCTATTTACTCAAATACAATTTTTGTGTGTGTGGGGTGGTTACTTGCAGACAAATCCACCTCATACTGGATATTGATGAACTAAAGGTTCAAATCATTCACACCCACTTATACTACTAATATAGTTTGACCACCTCATCCATGACCATAAGCGCAGACATGCCATTTGGACCGAATTATTCTCAAAATAAGGTGAAAGGATGAGAACTTTCTTTCGCTTGATCATACGAGGGTTGGAACTTTAATAGTGGCAACTATTTATTTACAAGGAATACAAAAGTGATTCATGTCACCATGTTTTACAGTCCATCAATATAGTCGCCAGCATTGTGTACAACCCGTTTTCAATGATGTGGAAGTCGCAGAATACCTGTAGCAGCGCCTGTTTTGTTGATAGTTTGAATAGACCGGTCTACTGCCGCAAGAATCTCAGGAACAATCTCAGGAGTGCCACGAAGTGGTTTCTTCATCTTAGGAATTAAGTCATAGTCACAAGGGCTTAGATCTGGGGAGTATGGTAGATGGTAAAGCACTTCCCAGCCCCATCACTTGAACAAATCAGTCACAGCTTGCGCTGCATGCGGCCGAGCATTGTCATGCAAAATGAGAGGTGCGTTCTGCAGAAAGTGTCGCCATTTTTTTCTCAAAGCTGGTCGGAGATTGTGCTGCAAAAATGAGCAGTAATACTGCGCAGTGACAGTCTGCTGTGGGGGAACAGTATGCGTTAGGATGACACCATCACAGTCGTACACGAGAATCATCATAACTTTCACATTGCTGGGGTTCTGACAAAATTTCGAACGTTGTGGTGACCCGTGATGACGCCATTCGTTTGATTGGCGTTTCAGTTCTGGCTGGTACGATCGGGCCCAAGTCTCATCCAGAGTAATGATACGGCGTAAAAAAGCATCTCCTTCGCGCTCATAGCGCTCCAGGTGGGTTCAGGCAGCATCGATCGTAGCCATTTCTGCATTCCCGTCAATTGATGTGCAGCACAGTCGTATGCGCTAATCCTGTTTGTCCGGCCAGCTGACGAATCGTTTGGCGGCGATCACTGTCCATTTGTGCGGCAACAGTTTGCACGTCTGCATCGCTGACACTCGGACGACCTGGCCGCAGCATGTCTGCCACGTTTTGGCGTCCTTCATTGAATGCTTTCACCCATCTTGATACGGTTCTGTAAGGCAATGCAGATTCCCCGCAAGCCTCTTGAAGCCCTTGATGACACTGTCGTGCTGTACGACCTCTGGCACATTCAATTTTTATCGAACATCGTTGCTCTTGTTTTGGAAACATCCTGACAACACTTACTTTAGACCGCGAGCTAATACAAGGATCCGTTCTTCGCGTCACTCCGCATGCGCGTGACGTAGGTAGGACAAGTCTTTTTGCTGAGAGATAAGGTAGGTATGTAGTTAACGTGTGGTATACGCGATATTCTTTGGTTTAGTTGCGTAGCATTTTTTCAGCTGTGTTGCCATTATTAAAGTTCCAACCCTCGTACAATTTCTCTCTTTCAGGAGAAGAGGAGATGTTCATGTGACCTTTCATATCACAGCAAATTATAACGCCCCTTTTGGACAAGTCTATGTGTTTTGACAGAATGCCAAGGTCGCATTTTAGACAGTCAAACTATGATAACATATAAATATGTGTACAGGAAGAATTTGATCATGATTGAATTCTTGTCAGTTCACGTGAAAATTCATAATGAGCATCCCTTATGTAATTATTCTTCTCACAAATTTTCCTCGAAGTGGCATTATTTACAATTGCCTGGCTGTAATAGTTGTTTTGTTAATTTAGAAGTCAAACAACAAAAAGCTGAGCTGTAGCTGAGGATGATGGTTCAGTAAAACCACTGAAATTAGTCCTGTGAAAATCTGCAAATATTACGCCGATTTTTGTTGTTTGATTTCTAAATTAATACTTGTTCGGCGTGTTATTTTACCTTAGTTATTTTGTTATTAATATTAAAAGTTAATTAAACATTTATAGACAAGAAACATTTGGACCGAATTATTCTCAAAATAAGGTGAAAGGATGAGAACTTTCTTTCGCTTGATCATACAATTTCTCTCTTTTAGGAGAAGAGGAGATGTTCACGTGACCTTTCATATCACAGCAAGTTATAACGCCCCTTTTGGACAAGTCTATGTGTTTTGGCAGAATGCCAAGGTTGTGTTTTAGACAGTCGAACTATGATAACATATAAATATGTGTACAGGAAGAATTTGATCATGATCAAATTCTTGTCAGTTCACGTGAAAATTCATAATGAGCATCCCTTATGTAATTATTCTTCTCACAAATTTTCCTCGAAGTGGCATTATTTACAATTGCCTGGCTGAAATAGTTGTTTTGTTAATTTAGAAGTCAAACAAGTTGTTTGATTTGATTCTAAATTAATACTTGTTCGGTGTGTTATTTTACCTTAGTTTATTTTGTTATTAATATTAAAAGTTAATTAAACATTTATAGACAAGAAACATTTATACATCATAACCTATCTATTTAGAAAAAATATTATATCTATTTGACTGTATTTAAATCACATATGATATGAAATCATCCCAATAAAAGTTTTACTTCCTTCTGTTACTTATACCTCTGAATAAATCCAATATACAATTTAAGAATTTATTACATTAACTTAAATTGCTGAAAATTATGACGTAAGGAAACTCACTCTTCTTTTCTAGAACCTAATAGAGACTGCACTCTTTCACTCTCTGCAGATAAATGGCCACATATTTCTTCATCATCCAAAGCACCAATTTGATCATCATCATATTCCTCAAAAACCTATACAATTCAGATTATGACAAAATAAATAATAATAATTTTTAAAAGTATTATATAAATGAGTAAGTAAAACATAAATCTCAAATAAATATAAAAATATAAGAGATAATTATCTCTCTCTATATAAAATTAATATCAAATAAATTAATATTAATATCAAATAAATATAAAAATAAAAGAAACACAATAAAAATATAAGAGATCATATTTCAACATCGGCATTTATTTGAATGAGTAAATATCAAACAATCAAATTACAAATGGTATATTAAAGAGTTAATTCAGGTAACTGCTCCTTGTAATAAAGAAAAACAATTTTTCAAAAACTATTTTTTTACTATATCTAAAATTCCAAAGCTGTAGAAATATCTCCTTTTGAATTTTAATTAAGAAATGCTTATATATTCTACAATAGCTTGATCTCACATCATACAGTTTAAATATTACTTCAAGCCTACAGATTAGGATGTTATTTGTTATTCGTTTCCAGACATTTTTAGAAATGGTTTGTCTATAGGTTGCTTCTGTATATTAGTCCTAATTCAGCTGTTCCAATATACATTTCAAATTTTCTGTCTTGGATCTGATGTATTATTTGGTTGCATGTTAGAAAGATGTTACTCCAATAATGATATCCAACAGCTTCAGAAAAGCTGAATTCAAAGAATTATTTACGTGAAACTTTTCATTTCAATGGATGTTTGATGAATTTATTGACGTTGCCATGCCATAATCAATGCAAACTACTGCACTAAGGACTGACATATGCTAACGAATGAACAAAACGAAGACAGCATAGTAATGCCTATCCACATTTTGAGATTAACGAACAATATTCATGAACTTCTAGTAAAAGCATCTGAATCATTTTTTGTCACCACAAAACAATTCATTTCATCATTCATTAAACATTTATTCAAAAAATTCTTAGTAAGAATTTTTAAAAATGAAAATTTACTACTATACTTTTACAACTTTTAACATCATAGGTTAGCAGCATAAAAAAATGTTACTTACTTTCTCAAACCTTTCGTTAAAAGTTTTAATACATTTGGGACCATCTGACCTTGCTGAAGTTAATGAAAATCCAGGAAACATTTCAATTATGTCAGCATCAGAGAACTGAGAGCATGCATCAGAATAATTACTCTCATCTTCAGAGTCTTCCTTAACTTTTTCAACATCTAACTTGTACAGAGGGCGTTTTGACCTAGACAATTCAAAACAAAATCTTATATATATACATATATGTAAAATACAATATCTAGCTTTCAAATAATAAATTAATAGCCCTTTAATTTCAGTTTCATTCTAAAAATAACAGCAATAAATTCGTCTCCCTGAAATTCTGTACAATTCTGATGTGCACTACTTGCCAATGAAATATGAACTTAAAATCCTGTAATTAAAGTGTCATGTGATCTGAAATGGAATTTGCTATAAAAAGGGCAATTGCATCACAATTCTCTCTCTTCCATCTTTTCTCTTGCTTTGTGTCACTGCTTTGCATTGCCTCTAGCCTTGTAGATTTTACATTTTTAAATTTAGTCCATTTTTTAAGAAATGTGAGGTATAGAAAATTGAGAAGTGTATAGCACACCCATAGTGATAACATGCATTATCGCAAAATAAAATTACGAGTGGAATTTACCGTTGTATATGTTCTTCGAGTGTCATCTTGCTAACTACGCAGCAAAGTCTTCAAGTTATGATGAAGTCCTCTCCAACGTCAATCCCTTACAACTCTCTTACAATAATAATGCATTTTAGACTTATGGCACTATTTCTAAGACAGAGAGAGGAAGTCCCCAAATTAAATAAAAATTAAAAGAGTTTATAGGCAATTAAATTTAGAAGTTTGCTTTCATATTTTTTACCTTCTATATATGATGATAATGATTTATTTTGTTGCAGATAATTTGATATTAAACATGTGCTTAACTAAAGAAGGCACAAATTATTTTCAGTCGCAAGTGGATTGCAGTTTTGAAGATCACTGAAATATCAATTACTTAGTAGATGACAGTAACTTTTGAAGAATTACAAAATCACTTGATAATTAAAACTTATCTATTATTTGTTTATTACTCTATGACATAGCACGGCAGAACAGACAATCTGCACCCCACAACTTTGATTATGATGCATTACATTTTTAATAATGAATAGAAGCAGCCAAGCAAGAGATGTCCTTTAGCTAACAAGCATAGCCAGCAAAAGAGTGTGCATATAATATCATGGTTGGAGAATTTATAATTTCAGAGTGCTTTGTTTTAATCCTGCAAATTGATTGGGCAAGAGTTTTCGTACTGCAGTTACTGCAGGGAAAGTGATGCAAAGCGAAGGGAGATATGCTTAAATGTCCATCACATTTTTATACCTTACATATTTCCCCCTTAGAAAGGAAAAGTAGTACAGAGTAGAAAAAGGCTTGGTTACAAAAAAAAGCCTTTTGAGAAAAAAGCATTACAATATTTGAAACAGAAAGGAAATTTTGTAAAACATTTATAATATTTACATTTGCATTGAAAAAGCAGATAGCTAAAGGAGAGTGGCTAGAGGGAAAGTGATGCAAAGCAAAGGGGGGATGTGCTTAGATTGAAATTAGTAATTTAAAGGTCTATAGTTAATCTGTTCCAATTAAGTTTTAATTTGTTAATAAATTGCTGTCACATTTATGTATACATTGGCTGTGTGTCTATGGACTAATTAACATCTCGAGAACAAGCAAAAACCCAATAAATTATGGCATAACTGCATGTCTATCAGATTACACATCTATGAATTTTACTGAAATTATGTGTTAGACTGTATCAACGAAAGACACATGAACCCAGTAGGTATTTGGTTGATTTAATTACAATGGGAAAAAAAATAAATCTTTTTATGTATGCTTTCAAGTAGAGGAACAAAGGAGATTAAAAATTCAACAGTTTATAGTGTATTTAAGCCAAAAATAATTCAGGTTTGCCTTCACTAGCTAATTCATATACTGTTTGCTTAGACGTAACTTTACTTATTATATTCAGAGACTTTCTACCCATCCTGAGATTTATTTTCACTGTGTATATATTAACTTGTTTTTTAAAAACATTTTGCCTTCTTATTTTTTTTAATAATCTGGAAATCATTCTCATCATGTTACCCAAAAAATTCATAAATCAGCATAAAAGCAATAAATGCTATTTAGCGCAGAATTCACAAATGAGAGATTAAAAATTTATAATATAAAAATAAAGCATTATTTTTGTAACAAGGTAGCTATAAAATGGAAAGAAATGAAAAATTTATTTCCTTCAAGCAAATTAAAACTGAAGGAAAAATAAAATATTTCCTGTCAATTAAAAATAAAAATGAAGAAAACCCTTTATACTTACAGCTGCAAATTCTGAAATGTGAAAAATAAAGATGATTTTGCACTGCACAGGAATGCAATTTAAAATTGACAAATTGTTTTATTTGGCTTAATTATTTTATGATTCGTCATTTGGATAACTGAACTAATTATAACAAGATTCTATGATAAAATATATTAATTTAATTAATTTGGAACAATTAATATTTAATAAACTTACATTCATTAAATATAATTTAATAATTAGTAAAATTAATTAACTAAATTTATTATTCCAAATTAAAATTTTACGTTGATTTTGTAATGTTCATAAAATTTGATATTGGTTGTTTTACATTATTCAAAGGTATTACTTAACAAAATACTTCTAAATACAATAAAAATAATTAGCAATGTGTATAAAAATGTGTGGATATACTTCATAAAATACCATTTAAACCCTCGATCAGCTAAGAATTTCACTAAGAACTTTCAAATTTCCAAAAACTGCCATGAAAAAGAAGTATTGAGACTTTTCCGTTTTGCTGGCACAAATCTCGCTAAGCAGACTTTATTGGCGAAAACACACAGTATACCCATAAAAAATGTTGACAAATGTTAGTTCTAAGAATTTTTTATTTTCAAGGTATAAACATTTTAATGATGTTTAAAATTTTGTAAAAAGCCAACAAATAAAGACAATAAACTCGTAAAAAGACAATTTAAGAATTTACTATGCTTTCATGGTACAATATCCTGATTCGCCGATTCACATCATGTGACCCCAAGTGATCTCATCTCCCATAAACTACGCTACAAAAATCTAATTCTCCCAGTAATTATGTACATTAATTTCAAGTTAAATCTTAATTTGGAATACAAGTTTAAATCCAAGAATTATTTCAATTCATACGAATAGCTTACTCGGAAATTAAATAAAACCGTGGTGCTTTACTTCGCTAGTGCATTCTCATCAGATTTGACGAATTTAACCCTTGAATTTGCCTTTCCTATCTTTTCGCCATCGGGTGAGCTGTGTGATTGCATCCCAATTGTCTTAATTACCGCCCACGAACGTCCTTAGGGCATAAAATTGAATTATCTGGTAAAAATTCTATGTAATTGTATGCCAGTATCAAAAGAAACAATCAGTCTGATAAGAAATGGCTGCAGCTTGTTTTAAAAATGAGGAGTAAAAGGTTACCAGCGAGGATATTCCGTTTGGCATCGGTTGTACCATTATTCGCGACTTTATCAGCTGCGCTGGCAAAACGGAAAATTACCAAAGTATTTTCTTGCTTTTAATTGGTACTTTAAACCTGGATTTATGCACTTTTAATGTATTACTTTAATTTCTTGGACAATTTTCAAGATATATGTGTATATATACATTCTTAAAGATGTCACAAAAACATTCTAGATATACAGTCTGACCAGTCAGAATGTTAAAGAATTTACAGTAAATATTATGGATGACCATGTCCTTTAGAATTTCACAATAATGATCAGCGATCGTTGCCACCACTGAATGACAGGACAATAATAACTTTAAAAAAATCTTGAAAAAAGTATTGGAATTGAACTAATTTAATATAACTAGAAATATATAATAGGTACTTTCAAATAATTTTAATTACAAAAATGCAAATGTTCATTTATGAATTCATTCATATCATTTCAATTTTCAATATCTATAAATTATTGACCGATGCTGTACTCCTAATCTTCAAATGGCATACCTCACTGGAAAAGAATTTGTCAAATTAGAAGGAAAAAAAAAAACTTCAGTTTAGCAGATATTTTCAGAGAATTTTTATTTCAGGAGAAGGGAAAAAATTCTGCAAAAATATTTCTGACTTCTGAAGTAAAGGAACCCATATTTGATTGCTCTCAAATCAATAGTTTTTGAAAATTTATATCAAACTAAGGTTTTTTTTTTCCTCCGATTTTAAATGATTGACATGAAAATCAAGCTATTTTGCAACTTAATCTGTTACTTGGCAGCATTTCCATCACTGCGCATTAAAAAAAAAAATTTTTTTAAACTTATCTAGCTAATTTATTTCAGTTTAAAATTTTTATTCTATAACATTTTGATCACATTAATTAAACTGCTGATCATAATAAGTGATGTGTTTTCCATGTTTTCATAAATTAACAGACAAGACTTTGGGGATTCGGTAAAAATATCCAAACAATAATATTAACCATGATTAAGTGCAATTTAATATAAAGTTAAATACAAATATTTACCTTTTATTTAAGACTTCATATAACGTTCTTCGAATCATCATAATGGAGTAAAACAGACCAGACAATAAAAATTAATAAAAAATCTCACTAAAAAAAGGAATTTGCACAATTTTAAGCTTGAAAAAGAGATGACAATACGTTTGCTTTGTATTTGTTAGCATCAAATTTTTTTCATAACACTTCCTTTTCCTTCAATACTATAACTATTTTTTTAAAACTACACTTGGAATAGATTATTTAAATTCAAATGAATTAAAAACTCGGAGATCTGCAAATTTATTTTGAGTCCATGAAATTAAAAGAATTTACTGAAAGAATTCGCAAGTCTGTTATATGTATTAGCATTTTCAGTGAATAAAAATTATGTTGAATTTATTAAAATGCTCACAAAAAATTAAAATTTAGTAACTGCCTAATATCTCAAAATTTTCACACACACAAGGGGGGAAATCACTAAATAGAAGTACCATAACAAAAATTCACTTATTGAGAAATGTAAAATATATCACAGAATTTCAGAGATAAGTATGATAATTACTATCCCACAGAGAGATTGCTTGCATTTAACCCTCTGGCTGATCATCCCGTGATTTCCATGTTCAACTCAAATGTAGCAAATTTGCTCATCCCGTGATTTCTGCGGGCATATGTTTTTCTTCCTTTATTGAGAAGCACATCCCGTTTTTTCCCCCTTTAACCATTGAAATAAATTATATACAGTATTAGGTGTTTAATTTACGTTTTGGGCAACAGATATCGTTAGTTGTCCACTAAATTGCGCATTTTGGAATTTAACGCTCAACTTTTTTTTTTTCTTACAGAAAGCTGTAGAAACACTCAGCATTATCTTCATTATTTAATTATTGATTAATTGATTATTATTAGATTTTATTGAACCTTGCAAAGACTGTGAATTGAACTCTATTCACACTAAACTGTATTTTTTTTTTTTTTTTCCCTCAGTGCTGTATATTTCTTAAATTAATACATTTACTTTTTTATTATGCAATAAATAGAAATTAACTGTAATTCTCCGAAATTATTTAAAACATCTGAAATTGGTTTTTCTGGAACTTATTTTCTCATGATAAAAAATAATAAAAAAACATTTTTAGAAAGAAAAGTGGCATTTTTCTCTATATATATAAAGTAAAGTAGAAAGAAAAAAACGAAAAAGACCTACGTGGTCAAAAAATTTGCCTTGTGCTGAAAAATTAAGAAAATACTAGTACGACGCTAAAAGCCGTGAAAATACTGTGGTCTTGAAAACTTTAACATAGGCAAATTAAGTTGCAATGAAATGTGTTAAAAGAGAAAAATATAACATTTGATTATTTACAAGCAAAAATCAATATTAATAGTAAGCAATATGCTAAACTAATTAAGGTATACTTAAAACATAGTAAAAGTATTCAAGTTAAGTTAGCTTTCAAGAAACTATTTAATCTAGGATATTACAATAATTTTCTTCATATTTTTACATCTTAAATACAAACTGAACTTTCTAGACTAGCAATGCAAAGGCTAACATATATGTGAATAGTGGTGAAGAAAAAATTTATTGGTGTATTATATAAAAAATTTCAACAGTTAATATAAAAAACCTAACATGATATGAACATAGAATATAATATGGAACAACATATATGAAAGGCAAAGAATTTTTATTTCATTAGACGAGGCATTTTTAACACAAAAAGTCAAATATGGCTGGAATACAAGAGACAGGCATCAGTTTTTAAAAATATTCATATTATGTTGCAGTTAATGATTTAATCTGTTATTTCCATATAAAAATTAAGCATCCATAGCTGACTATTCAAAATAAAAAGTTTAAATACTCTTATTCTTGTGAATTACATTATACATATTTTTGAGAATGCATATAATGTTGCTGCAATATTTTAGTGAAATGATGTAATCAAAATATCTATAACAAAAACTTTTTAAGTGATAAAGTTCAATATCTTAAACCACTAACACTATGACAAAAGTAACTGCATATTTTATTGATTTGCTCAAAAAATTATTTCTGATTTTGTAATTTAATAAATCTCACAAACCTGTTGTGACTCTCAAATACACTCTCATTCTTCATGTCAGCAGGGAAAAAACTTATGTTTTCTTCATCCAAATCTGAATCATCATCAAATGTTTCCATTATTTTTTCTAAATCATGGTCTTGGGAGAAATATTTTACTGTTAATATCATCACCACCATCATTAAAATACATAAATATTTTCAATTAATTACAATATATAAAATTCACGGTAGAAAAAACTGAGAAAGCAGACCTTTAAAAAAAAAAGTTAGAAGAAAAAATACTGAATTTATAAGCTGATATTCTTTAAAACATGTCTATTCATTTAACTTATATTACAGCACATAAATTAATTTATTATTGCTTTATAAATAATAACTGTTTTTATATCATTGTTTCATTTTAAAAAAAGTTGAGTAATGAATGATACTACTGAAATAATGCATTAAAATAAATGGAGGATATCACCTTAAAAAATTAAGACATTATTCATTAACTACTGTTTATAAAGAAATTTACATTCAAGAAAACAAATATTTCTTGTTTTTCAAATTGCAAAAAAATTATTTAAAACTATGTAATAATAAGAATGTGATATATTTAGTAAACACACTCTGTTGCAAAAAATATAAACACACAGAAAGAATAAAGTCACAACTATGAAACTCAGCAGTAATATAGTGTTTGAATAGATAAATAAATTATCAAAAACTGGGACAAAAAAAAAGCATTTTATTTATGAGCAGCAATACAAAGAATACAAAAATCAGTAGGTGGTAAAGTCACCCCTGACAGCTTTACAATCTGATACTCGATTGGTCATAGAGTCTATTAAGTTGCCGATTGATTCCCTCTGCAGTTGATCGTGGCCCAAATGTAGCAACTAATCAGCGAGTTGGGATACATTTGTCACGGCTGAATTTTCCTGCCCAACATGTCCCTAACATGTTTGATACATGGCAGGTCTGGCAGGTCAGTCGAGGACATTAATACATCAAAGACACTGTTGGGAAAGTCATGCTGTATGTGGCCAAGCATTGTTCTGCTGGAAAACAGAATCTAAAAGACCTGCTAGCATAGGCCTTAAAAATGGCTGCAAAATTTTCTCAATTTTCCCGTGAGCAGTCAAAGTACATCGCAGCACAACTAATGGTGAATGGCTGACCCAGCTAATCGCTCACCAGACTGTCACACCTTGTGCTCTGGTTGTGTGCAGCTCAGTAACAAATGGTACATTGGACTGCTCACTTCTCTATCTCTAGACACATTAGCAGCAGTCATCAGCAGAGAGAAAATCATGATTCATCGCTGAAATTACATTTCTCAAATGGACAATGTCCAGCTTGAGCAGGAGTGGCACCATGCAAGATAACACTGCTAATGGTGAGTGTCAATGGCAAAAATCTTAATGGAAACAAGATCTGAGACCAACATCATCTGGTCTTCTGCAAACCATAGCCAGTGGGGAAATGGTGTTGAACTGAAATTGGGTGATCATCTCGCATATTACTAGACAGGGTACATCCCGAGACACTACAGTGGCTGATTATGCCTTCGTTATACCACTGGTTCCAACGATAGACAACAACCATATTGCTTCAATCAAAATGCCAGATGATTTGCCTGTTCGACTAAACAGCCACTAAGCCCTATGATGTGACCTCTCTCAAAGTCTGGAAACTGTTCAGAATACCATCCAGTGCATCTTAAAGGCATCTTTTGTTACAATATCGTGTACCTAAGCTGTCAACATGGTTGCAAATACATGTCACTCACCATACCTGCCTGTTTACAGTCTACCAACTATGCACTTCAGAGGCATGTTGTATTGCTCCACAAAGCTGATTGGTGCAACAAGCTTAATCATTTACACAGCATGGTAAACCACATTTGCATGCCCTGTTTTGTAGTTATGGCTCAATTTTTTCTAGGTGCACATATTTTTTTAAAATAAACTGTGTGTGAAAAAATTTCATGAAAACTCCCAGAAATAATTGATTGATATGATTGATAAATAAGATTTTTCAAAAACTACTAATTTACTATGCAAAATAAAAGTATTAATTTACTATGCAAAATAAAAGTATTAATTTACTATGCAAATAAATTCTGATCAGATGTTTATTGAGAGCTATTGAAAATTTAATTTCCTGCCCTTTGAGCTATGTTATTATTGTTTTTAATTATGTCACTTTATACAGGGTTGCCACTTAAAGAGAAGAATGAAATTCCCTGACTTTTCCAGGTGTGTTTTGAGAAAATTCCAATCTATCTGCATAGTGCACATTGGCTGTACCGAGAGGTAAATTAATTATGGTACCACTTTGAAAACACAAAAATTTATCAATTTCATATGACTTATTATATATATAATCCTGAAAGCATTACTATTATAGCTATAATAGGAGTTGTTTACTCCACTGAAGATTGAGATTAGAATCTGCCCAATCTGTATTAAAAAATTAGTTTTTTTTTTTTTTCAGACATTTTGCAGCTAAACTAAGAAAGAAATATATTTAATGATATTTAAAAATAAATTCAGGTATTTCATATTTATTTAGCAGCATACATAAACAAAAATATGTGCATTAAATTTTGTGATAGTATGTCATCATACTGCTAGATTTAGTTTCAGAATTATGCCAGAAAAATTTGCCTGAAATTTGAAAGTATTATTAACTAATAATAAATAAATTTAGAGGAAAGAAGAACAATAAATGATACAAATAACATTAAAATGAAGTTAATTACTTAAAAATTGAATTACAATAATCAATGCTATTTTGGCGAATATTAAACGTTAGCCTAGGTGACTGGTGACTATTTTTTTTATTTTACTGCAAAATGAAAAATAAGGCATTTATTAAAATGAAAAAAAAAAAAAAAAAGAAGTTTAAAAGATTTTGCGGTAAAATTTTAGTCTTCGCTACAGCCTTTGTACAATTTTGAAAACTCACCAAAATGACTGGTTTACTACCCAACACCTTCTTAAACAGAAAATAAGAGACAGAAAGAGGTAACTGTAGTTACTGCTCATCATAATGTCGCCATAACCCATGTGTACCGTACATGGAGGTTAGAATTAAAAAAATATGTATTGTTAAGATAAAAAACTTCTCTGCAACAGGAATGACTCCGTCCCAACATATAGGAAACAGCTGCACATGCACGAAATATCTATCGCCAAAGCTTGCGAAGTTCGAAGGTCAAGTTTATCAAGAGTACATAAAACGAATATCATTTTAAATTTCCTTAAACTTTAAAGGAAAATATTTTTTTGTGCGAGTAAATTAATTAGTAGATTAGCTATTTTTAGCATAAAAAGTACGAAAATCCAAGTATAAATTATCACGTCAAAAAATGTTTCTTCTTAACACATGCTCCACAATTTCCTGTACACATTGCAGAGGGGGAAATTCTCGCCGTCAGGTTCCGTAGCCACCCTTGGCGAGTTTTCCCCCTCCACTTTCTAGCAGCACTATAGCAAACTGATTTACATTACATCTATAGAACCTTTTTTTCTTTACATAGACATTCTTATATTAGAACAGAGTACATGGGAGGCTATTCTAGCCTACGATTAAACCAATTTTGTTGTATACGAGAATGGGAAGGTATTTTTCTTTAGTTCAACATAACCTGCACATGCGAGTCTTAGGATTCTCGAGGTTACTGGAAACCAAACTTGCCGGAAACTTGCTTTGCCTTTCTAAAAGACAATCTGATTGGAGCTGCGAAAACTGGCTCTATCCCAGTTGCCTGAATGATGCTTATCCGATACATAATACGCCAACAAAGTGATCGCTTCCAACATTGGCACAAAACTCGCTTTTTGGGGGATCGCCGTATGACATTACCTGACTTTTCCAATTTTGACTAAAATATTTAAATTCCCCGACTTTTTTGGTCAATTTTCAAATTCCCTGACTTTTTTCAGTTTTCCAGGCAGTGTGGCAACCCTGTTTATAACTAGCATTTTTTGCTTTAATGTACAGTAATACTTTTACGGATTCAATACACTGAAAATTTTTGTTATGATTTTGGACATCAGTTATGTTAAAATTCATAGTTATATTTCTGGTAAAAGTTTTAAATTATATATTTTACTTTCAACGTGTTAACAATATTCAAATTCATACAGACTTCATCTAAAAAATTATTGTTACTCGACCATGTAGATTTTAATTTAATAGTCTGTGAACATCCTCAATGATGGATGTTTTTTACATATAAAAACATCATTAAAGTTTAAAACTCTGAGAAAACCAAATACTCCCAGGAAAAAAAGTCATTTAAGTGTTAACCAACACTTTAAATCTGGCTGTTAGTATCCACATATATCTCCAGCCATATGAAATATTTAATACAAAATAAATGAAATCAATAACTCAACTAAAATATTTAAATCAATCAAATTTTACCTTCTGATTTCAAGTCTTCCTCCTGAACAGATTCTTGACATACTGGAGGAAGATTTGAAAAGAGCAGTGAGCTTCCCTATAATAAAATAAATTAGCAATGAAATTCAAAATGAAGATAACATAAGATTTAGATTGTTTCAAAACAGCATGAGGACAACAGCATTTATGATCAAGATGTTTAACATATAAACTTTTCCTTTTAAATATACTGAATTATTTTACTTAATCTATAAACTGACTGTGTGCTACCTCTAAGGTACCATCACGAATCTTTTTTGGTAAATTATTAATACAACCATGTATAACCATATAGGCAGTCTTTCACAACAAACTATTAATGTAACCTACTTTATTCAAACTAATACCCTTCTTGCCCTTGCAACTTATTTGCCTTATTAATGTTACTTTTCTATAATATGATGCATAATTACACAATATAGAAATTAACAGTTTCCTGGGCACTCTATAGCATATAACAGTCTAGAAACAAACAACTTCTGTTTTCATGACTTGGGAAATTCCAGAGACATGTAACTCTGAAACTGAGAAACATGGCTCAGAAAAAATACACGGAACTTTATTAAATACATGGTTAACAGAAAACTACTATAACACTATGTATTATTTTCAAAAAGGGAGGAATGCGTCGCAATCTGGTTATGCTTAATATACAAAGTTATATGCTGTATATGGGAATGAAGCCTTTAAAGAAAGGCAGTGTCAAAATTGGTTTGCTGAATTTCGTTCTGGTGATTTTTCACTCAAAATCACAACAATCTGGCCGTCCAGTTAAAGTTGATGAGAGCCATATCAAGGCCATTATTAATTTATATCACCATAGAACGTAAGACTTCAGAGAAGCTCAATGTAGTGCATAATGCATTAAAAAAATTAAAACAGCTTGGCTATGTTAAGAAACCTGATTTATGGGGCCTTCATCAGCTTAAAGAAATTCATTTGGTGCAACATGTTAGCATTTGTGATTTGCTTCTCAAATGCAATGAAATTGACCAATTTCTAAAATGACTGATTACTGGTGATGAAAAGTAGATAGTTTGTAACAACGTTAATCAAAAAAGTTATGAGTGAAGCGGGAACATCAAAAATTGAGATTCACCAAAAAAAAAAAAAAAAAAAGATTATGCTGTCAGTTTGGTAGGATTATAAAGGAATTCTGCACCTCGAACTTTTACCAAGAAACCATGTACTTAATTCATACATCTACCTTTAGCAATTCACCAAACTGAACAAAGCAGTTCAAGAAAAGCAGCTAGAGTTGGCAAATCGTAAAGGTGTTACTTTCCAATATAATAATGCAATGCTCCAAAATTCTTTGGTCTCTCGCCAAAAATTATTAGAACTAGGTTGGGGAGTGTTGTGCCATTCATCATATAGGCCTGACCTTGAGCTTTCAGATTTCCATTTATTTCACTCCATTCAGAACTCCTAAAGTGATATAATTTTTTATGACACTGATGATGTAAAATCTAATTTAATTACGGTTTCTGTTGACAAAAATCAGAAGTTTTATGAACATGGAAATCAGGATGGCAAAAGGTCATTGACAAAAATGGACAGTACTTAATTTAATAAAGTATATTTTCAAGTAAAAATTTTCTCACTTAGTTGCCAAACCAAAACATGCATTTCAGACAAAAATTCTGAAAATTTCAGTTGTTTCTCACACCACTTAATTAATGTCAATTTTTTTACTTAAATAAATCATAGTGCTATTACAAAAGCTATTCTAAAGCCACTGAACCAGCTGTTGGAGTATACGCTTTCTTTTGCTTGCAACTTTTTATATTGCCCCTTCAAATTCTTTCATTTACATATAGCTTCTTTTTGTGTCATTTTCACATATTCGAATATACAAGAAAATACCTCTTTTTTAGAAGAATGATGTAGTATCTTCCTCAGTTGTCAGTAAATTAAAAATTGTTTTCTTAAGAAAAATACATTAAAACACAGCCTACTCACAGCTCTTATCTTCCTCAGTCATCAGTAAATCAAACATTAACATATTTTCAAAAAAGAAAACACAATAGCACATAGCCTAATCATGGCTTTTCTTGTGATGAATAAACTAATTATGTAATCGCTGCTCATGCAACGATTGCCAATGCAACTTTCAAACACAAATCACAAATAATGGTGAATACAACCAGAATTATTGAAATTACAGCTCAAAATAAACAACACCCTACATAGCAGTAATCATTTTACATAATTACAATAAAAACCTTAAAATTAATTGAAAACCAATATCCTCTCATCTTTTTTTTTTTTTTTTTTAATGCAGTCAAAAGTTTTCTTCTGTGGTGGATAAACAACTAGCATATGTGCTTTTGCCAAATTTATAATAGTTTACATTAGGATCGTGGTTGCTGATTTATTGCTATTCTTAATGATGTTTAAAAAACTGAGGACCATAACATTGGAATGTACAGCTTTAAATTCTATTTTCACAGAGTGAATGAGTAAATGGATAAAATTCTTATGAGTGGAAAGGAGAATGCCACTAAGAAATTTAATGAATTGCAAGAATGGAAGCAAGACAGACACTGACACAAGTCTGTAAAGACCTAAAAGTAGCCAAAAGGCATCATGTCAAGAACCTGGAAGCAGTTTAAACATCCTAGTGATATATGTAGACAACCAGATCAAGGTTGAAAACATGCTACAGCATACTCTAAGGGCCCTTATTAGTGTCCCTTTAGCTAGGGCTGTGAAATGGGCCAGCAGTAGTACATTGTTGTTGGAGTACCACACACAGTTTATTGGAGTTTAGTTCCCTTTACTAAATTAGTCTAATATTTTTTGGGGGGAGAGGGGAGGTGATTTCAGATGTACTAAATTCTGGAACAAGCAAAACACACACAAACACTCTGAAAACATGTGTGAAAAGGTGGTGGAATCATGTTATGGATGGGCATCACTTTAATGGTCACACTGACGTATACATTTTTAATCATGCAATTATGAATGCTTAAATATACAGAGACGACGTTTTTGATCCTTATGTCAAGTCATTTAAGGGTGCAACTGATAACTTTCCTCAAACGGATGATAAAGCTTATCCCTATCCTGCAGCATTAGAGAACGATTAACTTGAATGCACATGAATTCAGTAGATGGAGTGACTTGCATTCAGTAGATGGAGTGACTTGCATACATTTAAATTCAACAGCCCATGAGTGGGATGCAGTAGGATGCCCACTTGCATCACTGCAACTAATACCTAAAACTCTCTGAGGGCTTCAAGGCACTACTCAATGTAAATGTTCATGTCTGTAAACTCCTAGACAATACAATACACAACACAGAAATCACAGCAAAGCTTGCATTTCCTATTATTTAAATTTATGGTACTTGCACATTTTCCTTTTGCCTATTTTTGACAAACAAAAACTAAGAAGTATGATTATATTATGACTCATGCCAAAGAGTAAGCATGAGTCATAATATAATCATAACATTTTCATTTTGGTTTTACGTAACCACGATCTCCAGTAAGCCGGTTTAATTTGTATACAGAAGGATATAAGTTAACTGCCACTTATCTTGTGTTTTGAAAAAAATAATTAAAATCTGGTTCCTGCATAATAGCAAGCAGTAGAGTTGGAAGTCAAACAACAAAAAACAGCGTTATATTTTCAAATTTTCACAGGACTAGTTTTGATGGTTTTACCAAACCACCATCCTCAGCTGCAAAAGCGAAAATGAACGAGATAGGATATAATGATTAGATAAGATAAGAAAGCCTAGACAAGAATAAGCAAGTGGTGCAGTCTGCTGATGAAACCAGAACTAAAACATAATTTCTTCAAGAAATTTCTTATATGTAATAGTATATGTAATTATATTCTATTATATGTAAAATTATACTTAGAACAATGATAAAAATCATTAAAACCTGTGCTTTCTCACACAAAAAATGTATCACAAAAAACAGAATTTGAAATAAAAAGGAGAAAAAGAAAAAAATTTTTACCGCCTTATAATTTTTTGAGACAGGAACAAAAACATTTTGAAGTGTTTCACCATCAGCATTTACTGCTTCTGTATTACCATGCAACAATAAATATTTCACTGAATTATCTTTTGTAAAAGCTTTCTTCTTCTTAGTAGGCTGCAAAGAAAAAAAAAAAAATATGAATAAATTGGATATAACACATATTGCAATATTTACATTAGTAAAACTATTCCCAACACAGAAATATTATTCTACCAGTTGCAACCAAGTGATCTAAATAGTCTGCATAATTTTGATTTTAGATTAAAGGCTTAAAGAGAATATTTACAATATTCATTCATTTACAATTACAGAAAACAATATTCTCAAAATCACTAATTTCAAGTTAAGTCTGGTTTCAGTTCTCCCCACCTAAAAATAGTATTTTAGCATTAATAATAACAGAATAATTTGTAATCCAATATTTTAGTTCTATTATCATTTAATAAATTCTTTATTTTTGCAATATGCTTGCTTATAAGATTTAAAATACAAGACTCTAAATGTGATAGTTATCAGTAAATTATAATTGTAGAATCAATTTAAAATAATTATTATTTGAATATCGATTATTATCCACATCTTCTGAAAAATTACTTTTCTTTTGCTATAATTATGAAATTTCTAATAAAACATCAGGACAAAATCAAATACTTAAAGAGTATACAGAAAATGGTATTTATTACAAAAAAATGCTAAAACAATTTCCAAAGTGCAATTTTTGACTAATTGTTGTGATGATGCAATCAACATGATTGTGACATATTGCTAGCTGTTGTTAATTTTCCAAGACCCTTGTTCCACAAAAACATCATAAAAAGAAACAATTGAAAATTCAGAAAGCCAACACAAACTTATGTTATAGAAAATTTTATTAATTTTTTTCTTTCCATTGAACTTAAATGAAATCAGAATTGTCACTCAAAACTAATCAGGAGTTCCTACAAAACTAATACTAACTTAAGGATTGATTTTTGCTTAATTTTACATTAAATAAATATATATACCAGATAAAACTGCATTTTATTATAAGAGCAAAATCAGTTTAACAACAAAAATGAAACAGCTTTGAAAGAGAATTGTTTACATAAAGTAAGCTTACCATTGCGATTCTGAATTAATGGCGGGTAACAGTGTTGACAAGTTAAATCTAAAAAAATATATTTCTAAATTATTCAACAATAAATAAATAAAAACATTTAATCATATTAAGACTGGCATATACACTGAAGTGACAAAAGTCATGGGATGCCTCCTAATATTTTGTCGGTCCTCCTTTTGCCCGGCGAAGTGCAGCAACTCGACGTGGCATGGACTCAACAAGTAGTTGGAAGTCCCCTGCAGGAATATTGAGCCATGCTGCCTCTATAGACGTTCATAATTGTGAAAGTGTTGACGGTGCAGGGTTTTGGGCACGAACTGACCTCTCGATAATGTCCCATAAATGTTAGATGGGATTCATGTCGGGCGATCTAGGTGGCCAGATCATTCGCTGGAATTGTCCAGAAATGTTCTAACCAATCGCGAACAATTGTGGCCCGGTGACATGGCGCATTGTCATCCATAAAAATCCCATCGTTGTTTGAGTACGTGAAGTTTATGAATGGCTGTAAGTGATCTCCAAGTAGCTGAAGGTATCCATTTCCAGTCAATGATCGGTTCAGTTGCACCAGAGGACCAAGTCCATGCCATGTAAAAACAGCCCAGACCATTATGGAACCACCACCAGCTTGAACAGTGCCTTGTTGACTACTTGGGTCCATGACTTCTGCGCCACACTCGAACCCTACCATCAGCTCTTACCAACTGAAATCGTGACTCATCTGACCAAGCCATGGTTTTCCATTTGTTTAGGGACCAACCGATATGCTCACGAATTCACGAGAGTCGCTGCGGGCGATGTCGAGCTGTCAGTAAAGGCACCCGAGTCGGTCTTCTGCTGGCATAGCAGAAGGAAGACAAATTTCGCTGCACTGTCCTATCGGACACGTCCCTCGTACGTCCCACGTTGATTTCTGCGGTTATTTGACGCAGTGTTGCTTGTCTGTGAACATTGACAACTCTACGCAGACGTCGCTGGTCTCGGTCATTAAGTGCAGGTGGTCGGCCACTGCGCTGTGCATGGTGTGATGTTATGCCTCAAATTAGATACTCTGGGCACACTCTTGACACTGTGGATCTCGGAATATTGAATTCCCTAATGATATCCGAAATGGAATGACCCATGCGTCTAGCTCCAACTACCATTCCTCGTTCAAAGCCTGTTAATTCTCGTCGTGCGGCCATAATCACGTCAAAGCCTCTTTACATGAATAACTTGAACACAAATGAAAGCCCTGCCAAAGCACTTCGCATTTATACATTTTCTATGCGATACTACTGCCATCTGTATATTTGCATTTTGCTATCCCATGACTTTTGTTCATGGGATACTTTACTTACACTGAAGTCAGATACATGTATCTGACTTCAGTGTATGTCAGATACATGTAAAATCAAATTCCCCTTTTAAAAAGACAGTTTTAGAAAGTTTTGAATCTTGAAACATGACATCAATGTATTTCACTTTTAACAATACTAATGATAGCAGATAGGAAAAAGTACTACTGAAAATCTTTTTCAGAGATAAATCATTTTTAGTCAGAATAGAAAGAAAGAATAAATAAAATAAAAATCTCCTGCAATTAAATTTTTGTTTTGGGAAAAAAAATATAGATTTCAGGAAAATAAACATAAGAATTTAAGAAACTTTAAATGCTTAAAAGGAAAGGTTGCAAAATAAGACTGGTATGGAAGGATGAATTCCCAACAGAACTCCTAAGCATCCTTTCTAATCATAGCCATATTTAGGGGGGGAGCTGAAGGGACTGCAGTCCCCCTGAAACTGAAGTTTCAGTTTATAAATAGAACACAGTTACAAAAACACTGGTTTTAGATAAAAGGTTACAACCCTCCCCAAAGTAAATCCCAGCTACAGTACTGTTTTCAAGTCATTATCCAAGATCTGTAAAGTGACTCATATATGGAAAGAAACTCTCTTAATGATGCCAGTCTTTTGCATTCTCCCACTGCTCTTATATCTTATATGAGACAACATGATCTTAAGCAGAGGCACGTTCACCTGCCAGATGCCTTTGGGCTTCTTCCTTTTGGTACCCCTCTAACTTTTCCTTTCTCTGTTTTCTCATCCGAGATGTTTTCCATTTTCAGAATTCATTATGTCATGTGCCCTTGGGCTTAATTTAAGGAACCGGCAATGCTATGCCTGCAATAGCTCGGTAATATAGCTAGCAATCTAAGCAGAGGCAGGTTAAACAGATATAGCAGCCCCCATGAATGCTTAGTGCTCTGGAAATACAAAATTTTTTTAATTAACGATAATTGATGAAAATTTTATATTACAGCTATCTTTGTAATATAATCTATTTTACTTAAAAATAATAACTTGAAAAGAGAGTGACATCTCATTCACAGCATCACATTCTGCTTTCTTTTTTTCTTTTTCTGTTCTTTAAATTATGCACCAATACTTTCCAGAAAAGACCACCTGTAGTTCCAAGCAATTTGCACTCCCATAGAGGTGATTGTCGTAGAGAAAATAACTACCACTGACGCGTTTGATTTGTTCCCTTTCCAAGAAATACCGGTCAGTTTCAGATATTATGGGAGTGACCACTGTGAAAGGTCTTTTGTTGACAATTGTGGATGAGCCATTAAGCAGTAAATGACCTTCCTCATTTTAAAATTAAGTTTGATAAAATAAGTTGAAAAAATTTCACCACTCCCCCCTTCATTACACATTCTACTCTGTCTCCTTGAAGTGAAATTTGTAACTGAGCCACTGCGCCTAGTTCCCGGCGTCAACCAAAGCTGCCTCAACATGAAAATTGCTCCTAGCCTGTAGGACCAACACCTATAGAAGATTAAGAAAGAGTCTGTGTTATGATAGAGCAAGAATGTGTTTGAGCACATGCGCTAGTAAAGTAAAAGAGAAAAATATTTTCTCGGATCCGAAGCGACACATTCATTTGCTTGCCATCGTTGCACTTCTGGCTTCGTGATTATACACTATTTTATCACATGTGTGTTTATTTTCTTTTTTTTTTTTTCGAGACCATTAAGAAGTTTCATGTTTTGAATATTTCACTTTTTTGTTTAAATATTATTTTGAAAGTGGAACTGTTAGATACAACAGTAAATGTTGTAGTTGACGGCCGTAGTCATGTCGAGGGAGATAAGAATCATTGTATACCATAGCATGGGGTTCATTTTGCTTCACACATGTTACTGTCGATCGACGCATAGATGACACCCATTTTTTTGTTTGTTTAACAATAAACTTTAAAAAGTAAACAATTCTTGCTTATTATACATTATAGGTATAAGCATGAATAGGTAAGTCCGGCATTGTCTCCGCTGGATGAGAAAAACAGTCTCTGCATCACCAAAGAAAATGGCGACTGCCCTTCCTGCCAAGAAATATCGGACCATCCTGTCTGACAACCAGGGTGCAAAGTCTTCTTCACCCCCTCGTCTTCTTGTTCCTCCTTTCTCCTTCCGTCCAACAAACCACCTGCTCCTTTGGACTAATTATTCCACTGGCTAGGCTTTTCCTTCTCCTTCTTGGGTTATGGGCATTACACGCCCCCACCAAGATGAAGATTTGCCTCTTAAGGCTAATTTTCCCAACAGGTTCAACCGAACCGTTCAGCGTTCATTAGAAATAATGTAGAGGTCATCAGATACAAAACCCAGCATTCATCATAAGCAATTCCAAATTCGTCAGAATTAGAGTTCACAGGTTTATTAGTTGACACACTTAATTTCATACAAAATGTCAAAGTTCCTGATGGCTGACATGGATACTGAAATTTTTCAGCCCCCTTCCCGACCAGGTGTAGGGGGTACTTAGAAACAAAAGTCTTCTTACCAGTTTTTTTTTTTTTTTTTCCGTTTAACAAATACCCATATTACGCTAAACATAACTGCATAAATAAATACATTCTACATTAGACAAACATTTTATTTACCAACATCATTTAAAAAAATTATCTCGAAAAATATTTTAAGGACAAGAATTATGAACCTGTGTGGTTCCTTTTTTTTTTTTTTAATATTACTATTATTCATATCAATCGTGACAACGCGTCTGCGGCCCGATGTTGTACTCCTGGACGATAAGTGATTTTTAAATTCCATCTTTGCAAAGAGAGAGCTTAACGCGTTAATTTTGGACTCCTAAGTGTAATTTCGGTGAGATATTTCAAAGGATTATGGTCTGTAATGATTTCCACCGTCCCTATGAAAATCCACTTATCAAATTTCTTGAGCACGAATAAAACCGCCCAGGCCTCCTTTTCTATGCCTGCCCAATTCTTCTGAGCCCATTTTTGGGATGCAAAAGCTATTGGTTTAAAATGCCCTTGTGCGTCTCTCTGAGTAAGACAACAACCGACGGCAACATTTGATGCATCCAAATGCACCTGAAATGGTAAATTAAAGTCAGGTGTGGCCAAAGATGTCACCTGACACAGCATATCTTTCAAGTTCCGGAAAACTGCGTCTTCAACTTGACCCCACCCCACATTATTTGGCACATTCTTTTTTGTCAAATCCGTCAAAGGTCCAGCTATCTCGGCATAGTTCGGGATATATGTGCGATAAAATCCCATGAGACCCAATACCAAACGGACTCCCTTTTTATTCATGGGCCTTTCTAGCACTTTAAATGCTGCAATCTTACTAGGATCTGGGCCGTGTTTGCTGTTTCCTATCTTATGTCCTAGGTAATCTATTTCCTTAGCTGCAAAATCCCACTTACTGAGCCTGACAGAAAATTTTAACTGTTCCAGTATCTTAAGGATTGTTTCTAGATGCTTCAGGTGTTCTTCAAACATGTTTGAAAAAATTATAATATCATCGATATATGCTTGGGTGAAATCACTGGACTGGAAAAGAACCTTATTCATTTCTCTTTGAAAGGTACCTGACGCTCCTGCCAAACCAAATGGCATGACATTCCACTGAAACGTCCCATTGTGAGTTGAAAATGCTGTCAGTGGTTTACTTGATTCCTCCATTCCAATTTGCCAGTATCCTCTGTGCATATTTAAACTGGATAGCCATTTTGAATGCTCAGCCACATATATTAATTCA